AGTATACCACAAATACCACATAATGAATAAAACTGTATAAACAGTTTAAAACTGAATGAATGTGTGGCAAACTTTTAGGCGCCGGTATTGTTAACGCGCCGACACTTAAGATCAAACATCCAATCATAGAGGAAATGAACTGTTAAGTGAAAAATAATTATAAATAAGTCAAATAAATTACCCAAACTATAAACAAACTGTTTATACAAACTATAAACCAATGCTTACACTAAAGAAGACCACTTTCTCTCTCCAAGAGATGGGATTCCAAATCTCAAAGTCTCCGAAAGCGTTAGTAAAGACACAAATGAAGAATATTATGAGCGAAAAGTATGGAAACATCAATCCATCTTTGATCAGAAGTGGTTGCAAACTATGTACCAAAAAATTAATTAAATTAATTAGAGCACATATTTATCCAAACCATTAATACATATTGAAATGAATGTTCAGTTACGCTAACAAATCAAACTTCGAGCAAACGCTCCAAAGTTGAGTTTCATTACAACTCCATTCAGTACCCCTGCGTTCTCATCATTACATCCATACATCTCGTAATATATAACAAAATTCATAATCACCTAAATGTTGAGATCACTACAAACCAGAGGCAACAGAGCGGGTGTTTATCCATAACAAGGAGAACACAACTGTTTAAAAGATTAGTTTGAATTATGTTTGACCCATAGATTCAAATGAATGCATACATAGAAACCATTAAAATGGACTTTTCGTGCACTTGAAACGAGAATAAGAAGAACAGTAACGATGAGTTGACCTGAAAATGAGTATTTTGGTTGAATATATTGATGGATTAATTCATGTCAAATAGAGTACAATACCAGAGCATATTTCAAATTCAAAAGCGTCGGGTTTCGGTATAATAGAAAACTGGAAGGAATGGCCGACAATAAAGTGATGACAGCACTGTCCACCAAACCATAGATTATGCAAAATAATACAAAGTATTAAATAATGAGTCACTTTATAAAGTATTCAAATAATTACAATACATTTCATTTTAAATTTTGTTTTCAAATCAAAGCAACTTTGGCTTAAAATAGAAACTTACAAAAAACTTTCATCTGTCACTAAATATTGTGTACTCTGTTTGCATACAAATCTTATCATTTTGGATACAAAAGTATTTCTTATTGACTCCAACTGTAAACTACTTGATTGCAAGTCTTTAAAAGATAATATTATGTTAAATAAATACCTAATCTTCGCGAGCATTGAATCCGTAAAATATTTCTTGATCTTCAAGACAACAGATAATGAAAACCAGAAATTGGAAACTTTATCCTTAAATGAAATCATGGATTAAAGGAATATTGTGTTTGTTTTAAAACCTCTTCAAACCTCATATATTCCTCTATTGACGGGAAATATTCGGTTCAATACTTGAAGAATAGAATCAATGCTCTGAAGGTATGGCAGCCATAGGATAGCAAATGTTAAGACAACAGCACAAGAAATGGACACAAATTTGATGAATGACTTGAATTTGTTTGGTTGTCGAAAGCATAGACTCAATAAATACCAGAATATAGGGAAAGCATAATAAAGAGTCATTTGCTTGTAATTGAGGGCCAATGAGAAGACAATTGCGGCCAAAACGTCGTGTCCTCTCATCAGACAATTCACTGTCCATATGACTAGACCTAAAGACACGCAGTTATACCTGTAATCAACAAATCATGTCATGTCCTCATTCATGGCCATCACAATCAAGTTATACTCACTGGAAGTGTCCGTAATCTATGAGAATAAGCGCCGGATTAATAAGACTAATGACACAATTGACTGCTTTATCGCGCGGTTTGATTGCATTCAAAGAACTCAAACAAATGGACCAATAGGTGTATATCGACGAGAAGTATATCAACAGATCCACGAGAAGTACTTCACACCAATCACAAGCAAATTCAATATCCATTAACAGTAACTCTAACAGTAATACAATGTCTGCATACAATACCTGTGAATCTCATGAATATCTTGTGGTAATAGCTCTCAAAACCTCGGGATTCATGTAATTGTGTCCACAAAGGGTTCAGATATTGAGCACTAGTTATAGAAATAAAGATTCATTACAAGACATTCATTACAAGACAATCATCTAAACAAGTGGTCAAAAGTGGCGCACATTTTGCCGTTAAGATAGCTGTGGTATGCCGTGAGGGGCGGGTAATCCAACCCCCAGTACAACAGGTCATTGTCTGTGGAGTTGGTGTACCACTGCCTCACCTCCAGGTTCACCGTCACTTCCATCCAATGTCTTTGCGCCTCATAGTCACCAAACATGGGAGGACTGGCCTCTCCTGAGTACGAGTGCTGTCCGGTTGTCCACCGCAACAGAAGGGCCAACAAATTGCCGAAATACCACACGTTGTCCATCACTGCAACGCTTCCAACACTTCTTTCTTATGTC